TCATTCTAAATTAATGGGACCTGACCAGGTATGAATGCTGTCAATTAAGTGCTGAGATGAAAGGAATGTTTGTTTTGTAATTTGCATTTCATGCAGAGTCAGAATTTGAAACAACTAATAAACAGAAATATTGAGCAAAACTCTTTCGTCACTTTGAGGTGAACCAAGTGTGATAAGTGTGGGTTGGAGCTAATGGGAGTCCTCAGGCACTTGGGGGGAATGGACCAGGTATGAATGCTGTCAATTAAGTGCTGAGATGAAAGGAATGTTTGTTTTGTAATTTGCATTTCATGCAGAGTCAGAATTTGAAACAACTAATAAACAGAAATATTGAGCAAAACTCTTTCGTCACTTTGAGGTGAACCAAGTGTGATAAGTGTGGGTTGGAGCTAATGGGAGTCCTCAGGCACTTGGGGGGAATGTATAAAAGGTCCCTGCTCAAAGCTCCCTTGTGTTTCACAGAACCCCAGAGACACTCAATGTGGAAAGACTAAGATCATTGAGTCCAACCTGTGACCCATCACCACCTTGGCAACCAGACCAGAGCACTGAGTGCCACATCCAGTCGTTCCTTGAACACCTCCTGGGCTGGTGACACCACCACCTCCCTGTTCAGCCTCTACCAGTGCCTGATAGACCTTTCCATGGGGAAATTCCCCCTAATGTCCATGTTGTTTCCCCTTGGCCTGTCCCTTGTTCCCTGGGAGCAGAGCCTGATCCCACCTGGCTGCACCTCCTGGCAGGGAGTAGTAGAGTGAGAAGTTCCCCCTGAGCTTCCTTTTCTCCATGCTGAGTCCCCCCATCTCCCTCAGGAGTTCTCCAGCCCCTTCTCCTCATGCTCCATCTCCTTCCCCAGCTCCATTCCCATCTCTGGACACCTCCAGCCCCTCGAAGACTTAATGAGGTCCCAAACTGGACACAGCAGTTCCCCATTTCCATGAGATTGAAGCTTCTCTTCCTATTCCAGAGAAGTTTCTGCTGTGTTCCATTTACACTTAGTCATGTTTCCTGGTGACCAGTTCATGACCAGCTCCAGTGCTGGAGATGATTGCCCTGATCTGAGGGTGGTGGCTCAGCCTCCATCCACTGTCATCACCTTGCCAGCACAGATGCTTAGCCTCTTCCTTCAGGACAGCACAGCAGGAGCTCCTTTAGCACCTGCTTAATGGCTCCTTTTGTTCCATGAGTTTTTGTTATGGTTCTCTTTACCACAACACATTTTCTTACAGGTTTTCAGGTCCTGGCAGCAGGTGGAACATCCCTTGTAGCTGTTTGTTGCTTTGATACCACTCTGCAATCTGTGGGTCTTGCTGGAATAGTTTTTCAATTTATCAGAGACAATGAAATGAAACCAAATAAAAGGCAGATTTATAGCTGATATTTTAGGCAAACAACACTGAGAAGTGTTCTGTAGGTACTGCCCAGCCACAGAGAGTGGAGCTGGGAATGTGCAGCAGCTCTTGCTTTTCTTTCTTCCTTCATCTTTTACCTTCAGTTTCTGGTCAGATGTTCTCTAAACATGATGACATTCAGCCATTCTTGTTACTGTAGGAAAATATGTACCCTGAGATCTTTTGGCAGCTGAACCACACACAGAGAACTGCCTTGTGAGATAAGCATCTGCCTGAATCAGGAGCTGGTTCTGTGCTTTGCTGATAACAGGCAAAGATATTCCCTGTATGGTGCAGAACTTTGGGTTTAGGCTACTTATAAAATATTGACACAAATTCCATTTGAATTTAATATGTACATAAGTGAAGCAGAACCAAAGAAGTCCCAAATG